GAGTGAATCAAAAAATCAAACAATACTAATTGAAAGATAAAGATGTTTTTTTATTGAGTTAATTTTACGTAAATTGCAAATTAAACAAAACAAAAAAAGCCTTTTGCATATCTCAGCTGAATAAAAATTCATATTTCTTAAATTTTAAGTCTGTAGTTCTAATTGCTGATATAAAGGATTTTTTTTTATTTATAACGCCCTTGTGGGTCGATTTTTGGAAACACCTTCCTAAGCTGATCTCTGCTCAACAAAAGTAACATTTTGTTACAAATTTTGCGGAATGAGTGCTTAAAAAAGTGTAAATAACTTATACAATGGATGGTGTAATACGTTAATATTACTTTCTGTTGTATTTATTTTATGTTAAAATTGTAATATTCGCAAGCAGCTCCATTCCTTAACATTATAATAACGATTTAATGGAAACATAGCGAAATGTTGGCATCATTTTTGGTGAAACTGTTGGCAACTTGGCAATTGATTGAGTGGTGCAGAAGTTGATATGCTGTAGCGCCATCTGGTGGGGAGCTGCTACAAAGAGGATAGCACAAAAACCTTCTCCACAATAAAATACAAATACATGCCAATTTTCTTAGTGATCAGTTGAACGGTGTTGGAGTGAAACGGGGTCATATATACAAACATGCATTTACATATATATAGATTTATCTTTTTCAAGAATATAACGCGCTACATTTTAGTACTACCTATGATACACGATTTTTATTTTATTTGTTTAACAAAGAAACTTTTAATAGAGCATAAGCAGGCTCTCTATTCTTAGCTTATTGGTATTAAAACGATTTTAAAAAAAAAGTGAAACGAATTTTTCCTATCATAGTTAATATGTTGACAGTTTTATATATTAACATTAGTTATTAGGCACTTAAGAGGTTATTTTAGCTACGGATGAATTGGGCAACCAATCGCTTTAATTTTGCTAATGTCACAATTAATGCCTGCCTTTACTAATAATGAACCAAAATTTTAAAAACATATTACACTAATGAAAATCTTTTGTAATGTTTTATTTGTGAATGAAATATTTCTTTTTTAAAGTAATTTGTTTGCATTTAGCTTTTTGGTGGCAAAAACTTTTCTTCGGAAAATTTTGCTTGAAACAATTAAATATGTTACGATTGAAAATCTGAAAATCGAAAATCGTCATCTGATCATGATTTTTCTTAAAATTTATTAAATTAATCATGATCCTCGTCTTTTTCTCGTTTATATTTCTCGTTCCGGAATATATATAGGGTGATCGAAAAGTATTTGTTTATATATATATAAATATTTATTTTGCTCAAATTATTATAATTAGACATACGATTTTTTCGATATATTGCAAGGCAACGTTTATCAAACTGGGGGTGGGGTGCCCCCCATGGGGCGGGATAACTCTACGAGGGGGCGAGAGCATATTGAAAAGTCGAAAATAAAAGATTATGTAAAAAAAAAACTATTAATTTACTGAAAGTAAACATATATTCTGATATAATAAAAAATAAAATACACTTTTACACTAGTATAATGCACTTATAAATGTATCAGTACTTGATACATTTGCACTTATAAATGTATCAGTATTTGATAATTAGTTTAACGATACTAAGTTAAGAAGAAGTTAAATAATTACCAGTGACCCCATGTGTTGTCATACATAAAATTATATACGAATTTGTAACGTTTGTGTGTGTGTGTAAATAATCCATTAACTGTCTATTAAAAGTTACGCGATTCGCTCCCCAATGCCTTCGTTTTCCACGTAGGCGTGGGTATGTGATGTATTGAAGGAGGGGAAAGGAACAAATAAGGAAATCCTCTGATATAAGTACATCCTTCGCAAACACTGTCAAGGTCCTTTTATTGCATTTCAAAGCCTCTGGAATAATTTTATGGATATCAGTCCACAGGATCGTACTTTAGAAAGACGTATAATATATATACTTCCGGGACATATAAAGCACCGGTTGAGCGAGATTTATGTTTACGCCGGTGGCACTTAAGAGGTTGAAGTCGTATTGCAGCTTTAGCGTCACAATATAGTATTACTGAATTCATTGCATTGTGTTATTTGTATGGAGGGGGAAGGGGAGGCACGATGAGAAAATTATGATTGAATATTGCGTCACAAATATTGAAAGTTTGAGAAGCACTGTTGTAAGGATAGCCAACGGGAATCAGGACTCTCTTGCAACTTCAGGAGTTTTCCCCGCCAACTTCGGATGCCTCCGAAGCAGTCACCTTGACCACGCCTCCTTGCCCCATCCTCTCAACCAATCAGGAGGGTCTCTTTTATAAAGGCCCTGCCACATCAGGCCACATTCAACTCTCCAGATATGGGATGGAGGAACAATTCGCTCCATTTCCCAGAGACGTCCAGCGTTGCGTTATAAGGATTACTATGAATTGCCCCTTTCGTATCTCGTAGAATGTCTAAAAGGTACTCCAGTTCTCGCCAAGTGTTTTTTTAAACATGTCTAGCACTTCATAAGCTAGCAACTTAAGCATTTTATGAAGAATTCTTAGCAAACTTGTTTGTTCATGTGATGCTTCACAACTTGATTGAGGACTCCTTTGAAATGATTGCCGAACGTATTCAACAGTTTCTTCATTCACATAAGACCTGCCACTTTTAGGAAGATCCTTAACGCTGAATATTTCTTTAAATATTTCATACTATCGCTTTATTGATTTTGCCCCAGAAGGTTTGCTTCCATAACAACGTCATTATTTCCCTGAAAGTTGAAACTTACATTGAAACCAAAGGAAACTTTGACTTTCTCTTGCATCGACGTCATTTCTGAAAAAATCATGTCTTTCTTACAAATATTCACCCAAGTCACTCTTGAAGGAGCATATATTGCCATATACTGCGCGCACACACACAAAAACCCAATTAAAACTGACTTATTCGATGATACAAAATATATAAATTGTTATATTAAATGGTTATATTGTAATGAATTTTTATAATCAGGGGAAGACTTTGGGTTCATCCAATGCATCAATAGCTTTCTAATGTTTTTGTTGCAGTGTGTTTTTATCGTGGGATACATATGCAATACAAGTGGTAGAAGAACAGAAACATATAATACAAACAGAAGAATATAGACATTTAACACAAATGACGATCCCAGCATAGAACAGAAGGGGTGCGCTGTTTTCCATTCGAAATGGGAATCCATCACAGGCGAAAGTCCGACTTCTATTCCCAAAGAAGATACAACCATATCTTACTCGGAATTCGAGCCCGAATCCACTCGGTTACAGGCCGAGGGTCATATCCATCATACTGGTAGCAGTAGTTTTCTACTATTAGTTTAATTTATTTCTATTTTTAAATATATTCATATATATATAAACTGAACTCAGTGGCGCGACAGGGACTAAGACCACTGTGCCCAATTCAGTATACGCGACCTTGGGCCCTGAGGAGCATGAGCAGATGTTCCGGTCAGGTGGTTAGTCTGACACGAAACCTCCAGTGTTAAGTTCCCAAGCAAGCGGTACTCATTTATAGCTCCACTGAAGGGATGAAAGGCTGTGTCGACCTTGCCCTGTCCAGAGTTTGAACCTTGACCTGTGGCGTGGAAGCGCGATGCACTAACCACTCAGCCACTGGGCTTCATATTCATGTATATATATAATCACCATATATATATGAATTAATTATATTATAATTGTTTATTATTAATCCTTTATCTACCGACGGTACTTATAAGTAACACTCACTTTAAAATGACATAGAATAACTATTTTTACGAATACTCTGATGTAATACTTTACAAGAATATTCTTTTAAATCAACTCTTCCAAGATATATGGCAGCACGGGTTCTATGATAAGTATTTTAGCGGGGAAGGCGAATAGTTTTATGGCAGAAATTGCTTTTTCAGCTGATGGCGTTTTCACTGGATTGCGAAGATTGTCATTTTTGTTCGGAAAAAATAATTATTGTCAAAAGGTAAGTATCTTATTTTGTTTTGTTTTGTTTGTATGTTAATAAAGATCTTGGAAAACAATTCGACTATTTATTTTAAGTGAACAGTCCATATAATTAATTTTACAGTTGAATATCTTTAATTAATTAATTAGCTGTAACGGATTAAATTTTCCAAAGTTGAATATTTTGTTTATGTATATCCCTTAATTTTCAATGTAGTGATACAAAAAAAATTTTGCATGAAAAAAATTGCAGTAAATCATAATGCGGTAGATAAAGGGTTAAATCTTATTAATTATTATAAATACGTACATATATATATATGTGTGTGTGTGTTTACATCTTAAACAGCATAGTTTTAAATTTTGTCTGTATACCTTAGTTTTATAAACAAAAGGGGGAAAATAAATTAACTTTGATTTACAAACTGTCTGCTTAACGTCTTGTAAAACAATGTTGTGAGATGTCCACTTTATGCTCAAACAAGTTCGAGATCCTAATCGTACCCTGATGAAAGGATAGATGTATTCATACTGAAAGAGAACAATGACTTTGTTAATCACATTAAGATTACCGATAACCTTCACTGTGTTACTTGGTGCTGAGCGTCTAGACGGAAGATGGGAGATATCACAAAGATTTCTTTTTAAAAAAAAAGCAGATTATAAAGAAAAAAAATCGAAGGAAGTGAGAGGAATAACCCATTGAGAGTAAAGTTCAATACTTCGACTTGGGAACACCTTAATTGTGAAGCAGAGTGAAAAAATGTTTTTAGATAGGATTCAGACGAATAGAGATATGTGTCCGTAAAGATCCTACTTGTTTATTTCCAATTTATATGATTATTTTGTGTTCAGTAACTTTCTCATAGGAACAAAAAAAAAAGATTAAAATCAATAAAAGACTGACTTAAGCTGCTAGACCATCTTTTATTCCTTAAAAATGTAATTTTCAATAATTCTAGATACGAAGAAAGAAACAAAATCTAAGAGAGACAAAAACGACACTATATATAATTCCAACACTATATATGAAAAGGAAAATCACTCGCTGTATCCTTGGAGCGCAATGGATAGCGCGTTGACTATTTATCCAAAGGTCGTAGGTTCGAATCCTACCTCGGATGGCCTAATTTCTGAGAATGTGATTTATGAATGAATAAATAGTAACGAACAAAAGTAATAGTCCTACGCCATACATAGGAAGGAAAATGGCTTTCTATTTTGCCACTTAATGTTGTTATTCTGTCATATGCATATACAGTAGAACTTGCTTTTGTGCGGTCTTTTTTTATGCGATTTTTTGTGTGCGATCTTTTTTTATGCTGTGTATGAATTTCAATGGCTTTGTGTGTGTGCGCCACTGTAATGTTTTCTATCTATTTACCAGTGGCGTAAAGGAGAGAATGTTAGGATTCTCTTCCCCTCTGAAAGTCAGATTTCGCCTTTAATATTTTATAAATTGGGTAAATGCATATTTAGCGTTAGTCAAGCCTTGGGCCCCTAGAATCCTGCCCCCCCGTGGCAGGACTCAATGGCTTTGGTTCTACTGTAATGGTTTCTATCTATTTACCAGTGGTGTAACAGAGAATGTTAGTCCCCCACGAAAGTCAGGTTTTACCTTTGATATTTTTTAAATTGGGTAAATATGTATTTAGCGTAAGTCAAGCTTTGGGCCCCTAGTGTCCTGCCTTTCCATGATGCGGGGGTGTACGTTACGCCACTGAAATGTAGACGCTTTAAGACACTCTGTTCATTTGTTTTAAACAGTCTCCCGACAATGCGCATTCAGTTGCTTTCTGTCAATGCTCCAGCAGCCCGCGCTTGATTGAAGATGAAACTTTCAATGACAGTGACATTATCAGTAATTTGATAGATTATAAAGACGGACAAGAAGAACCGGATTCTTTGAGAGTGGATAAAAATATGCAGGGATCCAGCTTTTCAACAAATTGGAAAAGCATTTTCTTCAAATAGATACCAATTAAGAAAGGTGTATAAAATTCCATAAAGAGCTTCAATCATGTTTATCTGATTATCATGACATTTACTAGCAACTTGTGTGAACACCTGACCTTCGTCACGAAAACTTATCTCTTACTTTATGTTGCCATAAAATAAATCAATTGAAATTGTACCTTCAAGTAACGAAAGCGATTTTGAACTTATTCACTACAGGGCTTCGGATTACGATGAGCAGCAATGAATTATGTATGTGCATTTTGTGAAAACTTATCCATGTATACAATGAGAAACTATATGCTTTTAAAATGCTTCCATGTGTAATATTTAATTCTTTATTTTGTTATGGCAGTGTTCCTCAAACTTTCAATATTTGTGACCCAATATTCAGTCATAATTTTCATCGTGCCCCCCCCATATTTTAACCTCTTAAGTGCCACCGGCGTATATATACGTCTCGCTCAACCTGGACGTATATATACGTCTTTCCAAAATACGATTTTTTCTGTGAACTGCTATCCATAGAATGATTCTAAAGGCTTCGGAAGGTAATAAAAGGACCTTAACAGTGCTTAAGAAGGATTTACTTATATAAAATGATTTCCTTATTTATTTCTTTTCTCTCCTCCCAATACATCACATACGCGCGCATACGTGGAAAACGGAGGCATAGAGGAGAGAATCACGTGACTTTTAATCAGCAGTTAAGGGATTATTTATAAACAGTACAAAAATATTATTAAGATAATTGTTAATTTTTGTATATAATTTTATATATGGCAAGCCCATGGTGTCACTCATAATTATTAAACTTGTTCTTAACTTAGTATTTTTAAATTAATTATAAAAATACATTGTTCAGTACTAAAACATTTATAAGTGTATTACACCAATGTAAATGCCAATTTTACTTTTTATTATGTCAGAATGTATTTCGTTTTGCTTCCTTTCAGTAAATGAATAATTTTTTAAAATAACCTTTGGTTTCAGACTTTTCAATATGTTCGAGCCTCCCTCGTAGAGTTATCACACCCCTAGGTGGGCGCGCCCCACAGTTTGAGAAAAGCTGTGTTATGGAAGTTCTCTTATATAAATTTCGTAAATAATTGGTATATTTTATAAGTCCGACTTTTTTCATGCTGTCCCTATCCACCGCATAAAAAAAATTTCTGCAGTATTTCCACGAATTAGTTTGTTTTATGTAAGAATTTATGACTATTTTTTGTGCGTTTATTTTTATGCGGTTCCTATCTACCGCACAAAAACAGGTTCAACTGTACATATTTATATTAATTGTAATTATTTAATAAAAAGTAACTAAAACAAAATTTTTCTTTGTTGTCCTAAGTAGGAATTGACTTTAAAATTTTTTTTATATTACTTGTTTTATTTTTAAAGCTGTCATTTTTATACGCTGCATATAGTGCGTACCCATGAATTTCGATATTATTTCTTGTGTTAAAAGAGCGCATTATAAGCCGGATTTTAAGGTAAATGATTTGTTGGTTTTAAAGTAGAAAAATTTTTTTTACCCGACATGCATAACAATGGGCAAAAGACATGCATAACATCTTCCAAAATTTTATTTTATTTCTCACAAAAATAAGAAACAGTAGGAGAATTTTTGAGTAAATTTTAAGCAAGCTAGTTGAGCTCTTAAAAGATTATATTTAGCAGCAAACTTTAACGACGAATTACTTAAATCCTGTTGCTTTCATTTTAAAATAATATCAATTCAGCAAAGCTTGAAATTGCAAGCTTTTACTCAGCTCGTTTGAGCGATAGAGCGCTAATTCGTTCATAAAAACATTGAGAATACCATTTTGGAGCGAGATTTTTTAAAAAAATTATATGAACTAAACCTTGTTAACCAGGAAACAAGAAAAACTAATTGTCCGCTTTCTGAAGTAAACTACATTTTCCTCCCTTTTAAACATCAAAGCAACCTTCCGCCACACCCTTTAATAAGATTTTACTTCTGAATCCAACCACAGAATCAATTGGAAAAAAAAATTCCTTTAAGCATCCTTGGATCTATTCTTTCGAATCCTAATGTCATCAAAGTGCGCTGTAGACCATGAAAGAATGATTATCATACACAGGATAATGTATCTAAACAAAGATACCATTAGTAGTATATGACTATATTAATCCAGTCTTAAGTACAAAAGAAAAAAATACGATGTTTTTCTTTTTCAATAAACCGATACACCAATTGAATCAAAAATTTTCCTTCTACTTAAAGCTTCCCATTACTATTTGCCGCGAGCTATAGCTATGGATGTGATCATATACTTTTTCCATGCTCTAAAAAGCGAAAATTCGAGAAACCATAATCGCTAATATCCTTTACAAACATCTAGAATGCCTATTTCGGTAAGATTCTAGGAAGAATATAAAGATGATGGGTCTTCAAGTTCACCGAAGCGTTTACTTTCACAGGAATATAGAGGCGTTTCGATATCCCCCCCCCCTCCTCTTAAGATGAGATTTAAATGAATTTCGAAGAACATGTATATCCGAGATGTACCAGTTACGAGAAAGGGATTCGCGGGCGGCAGATGCTATTGTTCAGACTCTCCCCCTTCTTCTTTCTTTTTCAAGGTTTCTTTTATTTTTATAAAAAATGAAAAACCCGAATGCCCTTTTCAAATTTCGTAGAAGTGTAGGAATTCCGGTAGATATGAAATAAATAAATAAATAAATAAATAAAAAATAGGGGAATTCCATGTCACATAAGACGAGGTTCTTTATCGATTAGATTTTCAAAGAATATCGTTTAGAAGAAAGTATCAGTTTCTGTTCTTTTTTTCTGATTTTAGATAAGATTTGTGCAATACAGATTGTTACATTTTGGTTAAAAAATGTTACATTGGAAGAAACTCTAATGAAATGTTTTATGATCGATTGTCGGACGAAGAAACATCCAGACGGCTGATTTTTACGCTGTGTTGATTTCGAATGTAACAAAGTGTGTGTTTCTGTATGTTCAATAGTAGCAATGTCTTAATAATGTTTCGGAGAAAATAAGAAACTATATTCTTGTTAAATAAGATAGCCATTTTTAATTTATTTTGATGTGATTGTAGAAAAAGAATAAGATTGTACAAATGTATTCATGATTAATGTTAACATTTTTGTAACTACAATCCATGATTTAAAAATAATTTAAAACAAGTAATTTATATCAAAAAATTTAAGTCAATTCCTACTTAGGTCAACAAAAGAAAATTTTTTATTTTAGTTATTTTTAAATATACAATTAATATAAATATGTATATTCATATGACAGAATCACAATATTAAGGGGCTAAATAGAAAGCGATTTTCCTTGCAATTTTCCATTTTTCTTTCTTTATAGGGTTTTGAAAATTAGTTTTGTTTGTTACTATTACTCATTAATTAAAATTAATTATTCCATTAAAACAGTATAATAAAAAGGAAATCACATTATCAGAAATTACGCCACTCCATCACCTTTGGATTAGACGTCTAACGCGCTATCCATTGCGCTACAGGGACACAACGAGCGATTTTTTTTTATATATGGTGTTGGACTATTATTTTTGTTTCTCACTATTTATCCATTAATTAAATAGAATTATAATAAATTATAATTGAAAAAAACTGTAATAACATCAGTATCATCCACCACAAGTTTAAAAAAATTGTATTTGAGCTTAAATGGATGAATAAAAAGTATTTTATTAATGACTGAAAATTTGAACAAGATATATATATATATATATATATATATATATGTATATATATATATGTATGTATATATATATGTATGTATGTATATATATGTATGTATGTATATATATATATATATATATATATATATATATATATATATATATATATATATATATATATATATATATATATATATATATGTATATAGGGAGAGTGTGAACTAATAATAGAAGGAATTGAAATACTCTCATTTGTTGTTATGAAGTTATGAAATTTTTTTTTTAAATTTAGCCTTTTTTTGTAAGCTCTTTGAATTATATATATTTAACAAAAATTTTTAAAAATAGTAGGATTAATAGTAGGAATAGTAGGATTTAATAAAATTTATTTATTCATTACTTTATGAATGAAATGATGGTTGGATTTCCTTAATTTTTTGACATCCCTTCATTTTATATTGTGGCCG